AAGTCAGACTAAATTTCAATTCCAATTGGATTTCCATACCTTATTCAAGTAAAAATTTATACCCCAGATAAGTAAGATATTTGCTAAGTCTGACAATTTCTTTACATGCCCTTGAAGATCTGACAAAGAGGGGTTCAACTGTCAAATCACAATATCTGGTGATTTGCAAACTTACTGAATTGCATTTAGTTCCACAGACAACATTTTTGTTATCAAGCCATGCTGATGAAAATATTTTATCAAGTTGACCAACATCCAGCTCTTTCTCCTTCAATACTGTAGGCAATTTTCTTGCACAAAATCTATCTTTTGTGAACTCATCAATTTTTGACATTGCATTGGTTTCTCTAGAGACCAAGTATTTATAAACCCCATCAATTGGGAAATCTTTTCTTCTTGACCCCATACCTGGAATTTGAAAACTTATTTGTTTAAACTCACTTAACAAATACTTTATTGTCAATAATTGCATCATGTTGTTGATTATTTTGCTTGGGCAACAGCATGTCCCTTTTTGAAGATTTGTTGAACCAAAACCAAATGCAATGTTGTGTAGAAATCAACAAACTGGAGCGCTGGGTGGAAATGGTATTAATCCTACTTCTGAATTAATTTTCCTTTTTGTTAATGCTCCTTGAGTAAATGATCCAGATTGGTTGTAAAGCCTTTAGGAGTAAACGATTGAAGGTTGAAGATCTTGATGAAATACCTACGTTTGAATTGGCAAGCTCTAACAGAAATTTATAACTTACTCCTGAGGTTGGTCTATTTGATATAGAACAAACGAAAAAAGCGGAAATAAAAAAAATACATATAATTTTCTGGTTGATGGGCTGATTTCAAAAGAAACAAAGGAAACTTACAGATTTTAAGCCTATTATGATTACTCAAAGTAATATGCGTTGAAGTTACAAGTGTAATTCAGCTTGGCTGCCGGACGAATTATGAATAAAAACAAACAAGAATATTTAAGTGACTGCAACCCACCTACTCTAGCCGCAATAAATCAAAAGTTAACTTTTCTAGTTGCAATCTTTTAATGAAACAAATAAGAAAATTAATCATAAAGATGGCAGATCAAAAATAATTTCAATTCTTCCTTTTGGCTTGAATCAATCATAGTATGAATCAATTATAAGTAACAAACCTTTTTCAGTGACTCATTTTCTCTCTAATGTCTCCCCCTCTTTTTCTTTTACCTTCGCAAGCTTTTAACATCTAAAGACGACAGTTCTTCCAGTGAAGCAGTAATCACCATTATGTGACCGATCTTTAGTTCATCGTCATCAACATTAACCTTCTATTGAATGTATGGCACTATGTAGCTACCTTTGTCCGAAAAATCGAATTGAAATTTCGATTCTGCCTCGTCTTCAACGAACTTGTTGTTTGTGTTGTTGCAGTTGCTGCTGATGATCGCTGCTCTTGCGTCAGCGTCAGTAGCAAATTGTCAATGGATTTACCTGGTTACAGACCCATTAAAGCAGAACTGCCTTCTTTCAGTGAAAAAATATTTAAATTTGGCTGGAAATCATAAACTGCCTTACTTTGAGGTCGGGAATCAATAAGGGTGGGGGTTGAAAAAATATTCGTCAAACCCACTGTTTATAAAAGCCTTATGCCAGTGGTGGCGCCAGAGGGGGGGCAGGGGGGGCTACAGCCCCCCCGTCGGAGGAGGCTAGCCCCTCCGTCGGAAGATAAATTATGCTTGAATTTTTTTTGTCGGAGCGAATTTTTTAAGTTTTGGCGGAAATAGAAATTTCTAAAAGGACTGTTATCAGAATTCAGGAAGCTCATCCCAAAACAACTCATCGACACATCAATTTCATGGTAAATAATAATCTGTTATAAGAAGTTTGAATTGGTTGTTTAGATGTTCAGTACCAGGTGTTTTCCGCATGCTGTTAAATTTGATCTTATGTTATGGATAGTGCAGTTCGTCCAAATCTTGCTTGCTATAACCAACCTACAACATCGGAATATTTTTGTGCGATAGCGATATGGCAACAAATGTTACCCGTTTCAGTGTTAGATGTAGTATATGTAATGACGTATTTAACAATGATTACGCTGCCCGCCACACGAAGTCCAAGCACAAAGATTTGGCTGCAATGGGAAGGACTGCTCCTACGACGGCAATAGTTGAAACGGACTCGCAGCAGAGAAAAATAAAAACATTTTTTCAATCAAAAGGCGGTACTTTTCCAAAGAAACGAAAGGTTAATGATTTTGAAACTGAAAGAACAACAGAAGACCCCGAAGAACAAGAAGTTGAAATTTCGAAAATTCAAGACGAAGAGCAAATCGAACGTGGTATGTTATACGTTTTAATATTTAAGTCCTTTTAATACGAGGAAAAACACTTAGCAAAGGGCTTCAGCCATAAAAACAATCAAACTCATTTACGTAGTAGCTAAGCCATTTTACCCCATCCCAACCATACATATTTGTAGTGTTTTGCTTCTACGTACACGTTTTTTTATTTATAAGAAACTTGACTCAAGCCCAGAGTACTAATAGTTTCCAAATTTCTTATTTTTTACTATTTTTAAGGGAAACCATCTATTACTATTTACGATAAATCCTTCTAGTTTTTTTTATAAACAAGTTCCTTATTAAGAAAAAAACGTGTATTTTTATAGGAAACCTAGCTCTCCAGAAATTAAAAGTTTCTTATTTTCGGACCTATATAATATGGGATTTCACTGCGACTGCGACATATTTAAACAAATATACCTGGCTATGACTGGATGAGGAATAAACCTTGTTAGACGTATAAATTTCTTCGTTTTATTTACAAATAAAAATAATTTTTTGGATGATTTTGATATTAAGAGTCACAAAAGATTGATTAGTAAAAATGCCTTTTTGTCCATCTCCCAGGAGATATTATAATCTTTTTCACACATGTAAAACAGGGTAGTAAATCATTTGTTTAAACTTCCAGGTACAACTTCTAGCTTGGACCCCGAAGTCACGAATGTAGATGCTGACAACTACGTCACCATTTCGGAAGCCGAACAGTCGATGTCGGACATTGTGGAAGCAGCAAATGAAAGCGACAGCAACGAGGATATCGAGGAAAATTTGGAACAGTTGGAACTCGAGTTGGAAGATGAAGTTGATCCTGCAGGATTATCAGCCGAAGGTATACTAACTAGCTATCAGATATAATCGTAACTCTCCATTAACCAGCGGCGTAGGGGGGTACTAAAAAGTGGAAGGGCGCGTGAAAAAAGGGCACCTTGGTATGTAATGAAGACGAAGGCAAACCCTGCTAGAAGGGCACGGGGGCATGCTCGCCCGGAAAAGTTTTGCATATAAGCAGCCACTTTGGCTCCCATAGCCTCTTTCGCACTAAAGCTCAAAGAAAAGTCTAAAACAATGAAAAGAGGCACTTCTCAGATATAAAATAGGGCACTGCCAAGAACTTAACAGGAAAAAAGTTTGCAAAGTGTGATGGATAATTTTTTTCGTTTTAGCACTTCAAGGAGATTCGAGAGGACCGCAACTTACACTATCCGTCGCTGGCCCCAAGGACATATCCTCAACCAAAGACGGCGGACCTGTGCAGCCTCGTAATATTTCCTTCCCTACACATTTGATTGGCAATCAGCATCGCGCATTCACACCTTTGCTGTATGAAAAGTATCCCTGGATTGAGTATTCGCAAATGGAGGATGCCATCTTCTGTTTCCACTGTCGTAATTTTTCAGAGAATCGGAAGGATCCAGCGTTTGTTAGTCAAGGCTTGCGCAATTGGAAAAGATGCTATGGCACCAAAGTGAATGATAACAAACTCTTGCAACATCAAACCAGCCATCTTCATGCCCAAAGTGTAGCTGCTAAAGCGCACTATGAAAACGTTAAGTCTGGAAATTTTCAGACCATTGCCACACTTCATGATGCCGCTTATTCGAAACTGGTTAAAGACAACAGGCATTACATGCGAGTGATTTGCGAAGTCCTGCTTCTCACTGCTCAGCGGAAGATTGCCCAACGTGAGACTGGAGGTTCATTTCGTGTTGCCGATATAAATAAAGAAGCTCTAGACTATGGACCTTCTTGTGGTAATTTTCTTGCGATACTTGGTCTTCTTGCAAGGCATGACCCAGTTGTTGCTGACAAAATCCGCACTGGCCCGAAAAATGCAAAGTATACTCACCACAGCGTACAGAATGCCATCTTAGACATTATGAAAGACATGGTTCTTGAGCAAATAAAAAGTGAGCTCAATAAGGCTCAGTATTTTACCGTCCTTTCAGATGAGTCTAAAGATAGAAGCAAAAAAGAGCAGCTTGTTGTTGCAGTCCGTTACTGCTACGAGAATGCCATACATGAGGAATTTATTGGCATTGCTGAGGCGCAAAGTTTAGATGCAGATGGTCTTTCAGACACAATAATTGAACGATTGCAACGCATCGAAGCCAACATGAAAGCATGCGTGGGGCAAGGCTACGATGGAGCTTCTGTTGTTTCTGGTCACCTGAATGGCGTTCAAAGGAAACTTCCTCTGAAAACCGGTGCTGAAATGGCTTACTACGTCCATTGCTTTTGTCATCGATTGAACCTTGTGATCGTCGATGTTGTGAAATCAATCAGTTGTGTGGCAGACATGATATCGCTATTCAGAAGCCTGCATTCTTTTCTGAGCAGCAGCACCGTTCATGTACGATGGGTAAAGGTCCAAGAGGATCACAAGGTTCATGTGATGGAAATTGGAAAAGTTTCTGACACGAGATGGTCTTGCCAGGCGAAGCAATTCAATGTTTTCTGGGAGCGGTTGGATATCTTGGTGGAAGTCCTGCAGGATGTGATTGACACAGATACGAACCCCGGTCGCAGAACAGAAGCTACTGGTTATCTTCTGCAGATTGACAGGAAATTTGTGAGATACCTGTTTGCCATCCGACACGTCTTGAACAAAGCCAAATTTGCGTCTGACATGTTGCAGAAACCCTCCAATGATTTGAGTCAAGCCATTGATCTCATTGCAACATTGAAAGATGAACTGGATGACTGTCAAAGCAGGGATAAGATTCAAGAGTTCTGGGATACTGCCGAAGAAGCAGCGGATCGCTTGGAATTGCCGGAAGAAAAAAGACCACCAAGAAAGAGGGCAACGCCTGCTTCTCTTCGAGAGTTTGTTGTGGAAGCATCTTCAGAGCCTCAAGTAGCAAGCGGGTTTGATGGCTACGTACAAAATGTCAAAGAAATACTAAACAGAACAACTGCAGAACTTTGCAAGCGGTTTGACGAAAAAAACATAAAGATCATGAAAGGCATAACTGCATTGGCCCCCAAGTCGAAAAGCTACTTGGACCCAACAACTCTTGTCAATTTTGCTGAGCTTTTTCAGTCTGAAATTGGTGCACTACGCAGTGAAATTGCCACATTTAAATATATGCTCTCAAGAAAAGAAGAAAAACACCGCCCAAGCACACTTCTGCAACTAGAGGCACACTTGGAAAAGCTAAATGAAGCTTTCTTTGAGCTGCACCGGCTTGTATCCATCGCATGCACTTTGCCAGTCTCTTCAGCCGAATGTGAACGCAGCTTCAGCTCTATGCGCCTCATCAAGAGTGATCTGCGCTCACTTATGAAGGACGAGCGTCTAGACAGTCTGATGATGCTAGGTATTCATCGTGCCCGTGGAAGTGCTCTTGACTTGGACTCAGTAGTAGACAGATTTAAGGCTAAGTTCCCGAAGAGTAGAATTGCTCTGTGAAACAATTTTGATTCTTGGACTTGAATTTTCGATATGTAGAAGTGCGTATTCCACCGCTTAGGTCTGTTCCTATAAAGTTACGTTGTGTTCCAGTTTTCCTTAAGTTCAGTTGGTTGCTTTTTATTTAAATTCATACTTTCCAAAGATAGGCCCTACTTGAATTGGCAACGTTTGATGAGTTGTAAAGATTTAGAGTAGTTTTAAGCTTATCTAGAGGCAGCTTTCAAAAAAAATTTCCAGGGACGCCGGAGAAGGGGGGCGCGGGGGGGCAAGCGCCCCTCCTGCCCTTTGCTAGGAGGGGCAAGGGAGGGGGCAAACGTGCCCTTAGTAATATGTCAAAAAACGTAGTAAAAAACACGATTACACCATTTTGATAGCATTTTTAGCCAATCTAATGGGTGTAGCCACCAAAATTTTCCCGGGGGAGTACCCCCGGACCCCCCGAATTTTCGGCTCGCAACGCTCGCCTTCGGTCTCCAGTACCCTTACAATTCCTTGTCGCCCCCTAGCCCTATCGTTCTCTAAAAAAATTAGCCCCTCCGTCGGAAGTGCTAGCCCCTTTGTCGGAGGAAACCTAGCGCCACCACTGTTTAAAAC